TTACACGGGAAATAGAACGCAGGCACCTATGATCAAAGACAGCTAGTCAATGTTTTCATGTCTTCCACTCTCAGTGGCCAGATCTTACAACCATAAAGGAGGACGGAGCGGACTGATGAGCAGTACACCCGCCCTTTGGTCGATAGTCGAACACCAACAACAACCAGCACCAATCAATATTAACCGGAGAGATTTGATAGAGGTTACTTTCCTCAGTTATCTGACGAGCCAGCATCGTTTCAACCACAGGCAGTCAGAACTGATGAAGATGTCAAAGGCAGAGTTGGGATTGCGGAGGAGGTCGTCGAATGACATCGCATGCCAGGCCATTTCCCAAGTGGAACACCACTGGGAAGCGACAAGTAGACCGTTCTAAGGTGACACTCAGGATATCGCGAGAAGAGCAGATGAGAGATTTTTGGGCAATCGTGGACCCAGCTGAAGAGGACACCAGAAAACAGAACAAAGTGAAGGTGTGCTGTTGAAGGCGTATGTTCCACTCAGAACCCAAGGGAGTAATATTAATAATAATAAGAAGAATGATCATAGTTCTTCTACACAAAGGTGGAAACGCGGAAACCACGCTATGCAGGATTCTTAACAAGACAGGAAGGAATAAAAGTGGCATTCAACCCCCCCACCTCCACAAAAGCAATTAGAAACAAAATTTTTCAGTTTAAAGATCAATCCTCTGGAGCCAATTAAACAAAACGATTGAGTTTATCTAATACACTCTCTGCCTGCAATGGTTTTCAGGTCAAATACATTGGTCAAAGTAGTAGAACAGATGGCCTCAGACTAGCGAAGCACAAAGATCTAGCAAAATCTCGACTATTTTACCCGAATAAGATAAGAAATCTGGAGAATAGTTCATCTACAGCACTACACCACACGCAATCACACACACACAACCATACAATGGGATACAATGGCAATTCTTAAACTTAATATTACAGAGTAGAGGGAGAGTGTGATAACAGAAGATTTGTTTATGGAATCAACTGCAAACACGTGTAATAGGAATAATTCAACACCTTTTCAGCCGGACATCTGGAAAAAAAACTGCTACCACTAAGAAGAAATAAAGAAAACTATAAAACTGAAGTTCCGAATCTGTGTGTTTAGAACTGATATGATTATGAACAATGATAAATTTTGTTCGAAACTTTGTCATCTAGTAAACAGTAATACTGTTTCATCACTATGTTTGATATATCTAATAAACAAATTCATATGGAAAAGAGTATGAAGGCTGGCTAATCAATGCTTGATTAATTTTCGAAGATGACATTGGTCAGTAAGAAAATATGAACTGAATTTTTTAAGCGGAACACTTTTCTCAAAATGCGAGTGTTATGTACTGGTCGAGAATTTAATAGTCCTGACGCAAGAAAGACGAAAATCAGAAGACCACTAGGTTTGCGATGATACGTCTATTTTCCAAACACAAGGAGAATCAATGTCACACAAGTGTGTGAGAGCAAAATATAAGAATGTCCAACCAAGTGTGTGAACACAAGTGTGTGAGCGAATATTCAAAATGAACAAATCAATAGACAGTCTTAACATGATTGGCTAATTATAATGGAATATCGATCCATATATATACATAGCAAAATATATCAGACTGTCAAACAAACACACATATTATGTGGATATATATCAGCGAGCCACTTTGAAATAAACGAAACATAAAGATAAATAATAAAAGAATTCCAAAAGACTCTAATAAACGAAATTTTACTGGAAATAGGAATAATAAAGACTTAGTGAATCTTGAAGATCACAAAGTTTGGACGCCTCTGTCACAGAACATGATTTTGAGCCAATAATCTTCAGCCATTGATTATTGGCATTTCAAGAACCCCAGTCAAGCAGTCAGCATCTCCCTATATGATTCAAATTCAAACCAACACTTCAAACGTTCATGCGATATTTTGATTTCACTACGCATGTGGTCCAGGGTTCGTTCCCCGACCACCGACGCACTCCTTTAGATCACTTAACCAGTAATATGACTGGTAAGGAGGGAAGTTTGGGGAGCATGAGGCAGGCTAGCAAACCCAACCCGTAAAAGTAACCACTACTGCTACAGAAATTTAAAGCCTCCATTTGAAGCCCTATGTTCCACTAGGAATGTAAAGGAATAAATATAAAAAAACACCTCTAACTCTTTCCAATCATATGTCAAAGAACATTGCTCGACGAAGAATTTAATGGCACAGCATACGCAACAACAAAATCGAACAAATTTGCAAAATATCTAATTTCTGGTGAATTCAGTCACTAAGAAAGTGATAAGTTTCAGTGTAGATTTCATTACCAGTTAAAGATCCTTGAAAACCAGGCAGGACTGGACAGCTATTTCATCTTTCAACAGGGTGTCGAACTTGGGGCTATAATCTAAATTTCATTGATAGCTACTGGATGGAATGAGGGTAAAGTACCCAAGGATTAGGAGAAAGGATACTTATTCAAACTACCAAAGAAAGAAAACTTAAGTCAATGCAAAAACTGGCGCGGAACTATGCTCCTGTCCATCCCAAGCAAAATACTAAGCCGCATCATCCTCGAGAGAATCAAACACGCCAACCTGGATGAAAAACTTCGACCGGAACAAGCTGGATTCAGGAGAAACAAGTCATTCATCGATCAAATCGCCACACTACGGATCATCACTGAACAGAGATTGGAATGGCTGTCACCTCTCTATCTCAACTTCATCTACTTTGAAAAGGCCTTCAACAGCGTCGATCGAGAGGTCATTTGGCAACTACTTCGCTACTACTAAGAGGTGCCACCGACAATAATACATCTCATCTAACAGTTGTACAACAATGCTGCATGCCACCAAGTAATCCACAACGGGAAATTCACGGAATCCTTCAAAGTGAGGACAGAAGTGAGGCAAGGCTGTCTACTATCGCCAATGATTTTCTGATTGCAGTAGATTGGATAATGCGACAGACAACGGCGGCCAATGAGGAAACAGGCATAAAATGGACTCACACAGAAAACTTGGAGGATCTGGACTTCGCCAATGATATATGTCTGATTCCCTACAAAATGGAAGATATGCAAGTGAAAAGCAACAAGTTGGCAGAAAAAGCATCAAAAATAGGACTTCAGGTAAACGTAGAGAAAACAGAGGTGATGAAGATTCCTGGCCAACAGCAGCAACAACAGACGACAATCAGCATAAATGGGAGGAACCTGAAATAAACAGCCTCCTTCACCTACCTGGGAAGCATCTTCTCAACTACAGGCGGAACTGACGAGGACATCAAAGCCAGAATCGGGAAAGCAAAACAAGCTTTCACTACTCTTAAGTCTGTGTGGAGGTCAACAGCACTCAGCATCAAAGATAAGATCCGGATTTTCAACTCCAATGTGAAATCAGTCAATGCTACTATACGGATCAGAGACTTGCACTTCGCGTCATAAAGAGCACCTCAAACAAACTTCAGACCTTAATTAACAGTTGTCTTCACTCAATACTCAAGATCAGATGGCCGGCCAGAAAAGATCAGCAACAGGGATCTCTGGCAATCAGTGAACCAACCAGGAACCGATTGTGAAACAAATAGGCGCGAAGAAATGGAGATGGATTGGCCATACTGTGTGAAAACCAACCATCAACTGACATCACTAGACAAGCCCTCGAGTGGAATCCGAAACGGAAGCGGCGAGTTGGTCGTCAGTTCAAGGGTGACTTGGAGGAGGTCATGTGAAGAGGAGATGAAAGCATGTGGGCAGACTTGGAAAGGGGTGAAACAGTTGGCAGAAAACCGAACGCAATAGAGCCGCGCATCTGAAGCCCTATGTTCCTCTAGGAATTAAAGGATATTATAATAATAAATAATACTGAATGGATGGCCTGAAACTGTACTGAGTATTTGTGACCAGTGGTTGTTGGGTAGTGCTATAACCCGAATGGATAGAAGTTAAAATTCATGAATCACTGAGTTCTGGAAGGCCAAAGAGATCGACCCCACACCAGTTCGTTCTCTAGTAAGGTCTTGGGTGTGTGCTACTGAAGAGTCCCAGACCAAGATGGTGTCTCCATTTGATACTTGTTCACGACGACATCTACAGTCATACTAGTCCCAATTCCTACAAGAATTCAAAAGTCAAAATGTTTTATTTAGTAAACTATATGCATATATATTTGACTAGATGAAATGATAAATAAAAACGATAAAGGAAAAAAAGTAAAGAAAATCAAACATAAAATGAAAATAATAGACGACATGGATCAGTGTATGATTAAAAGTAACATATTATTTGATTATGCAATAATGATAATAATAATATTACTGATATTAATCAAAAAGAACATTAACAAACTGAACATGATCACGAAATGATTATAATTCAAAAGAGAGAAAATAAACAAATAGAAAAAATAAAATGGCTGCCTTTGTGTTTCAACTGACACTTCACAGTTGAACAGAGTTTAAATGTGAGTGGAAACGCGGACGCGCGCGCGCGCGCGTTCAAAACAATATATGACAAGAAATAGCAATACTATACAGCAGTGTAACAATAATAATAATAACCTTTCACCCATTTTACGTGAAATTATAAAACAGAAAGTGATATACGCAAGGCAGATTGAAAAGTAAACGTAGTTTTGAAAATAGTTTTCACATCATAAAAATCAATAATGAATGTGATTACAGTGGTAACTAATGTCAATCTACGATAGATAATAAAACAAAATGAGATCATTTTACATATTGAAAATTGAACAAAAAAGAGGAAATAAACGGTGTAAATTACAAGATAATAAAAAGAGGAGATATTTGTTTAAAAATACAAAAACAAAACTACAAAACAAAAAAATCAATATAGAGAACAAAGAAAAACTGGATGAAAAATAAAATAAAAATGCATTTTTGTTTAGGGAACAAAGAACAATATACACATGTGTGTGTCTGCTTTCTGGCATTTCTCCTCTCTCTCTCTTTCTCTCGCTAGCGCGCGCGCGCTCTCTCTCTCTAAAATTTCGAGGTGAATATAGCAATTAACCAATAGGGTAGTTTAATAAATCCTGGGAAAAGGATAGCTAATTTCTTCCAACCCATTAATTGTAATAATGTTTTAATTGAACGGAGATTTGTAAAATGATATCCATCAGCTGATCGTATACCAAATTCATGAGTTAAATCTGGTGCAAATAAACAATGGCCGGAACGTTGAAGTAACTTTTTACTCTTTGATTGACTGGCTAGACATGCAATGAGATCACCGAGTACTGGAGCTGGCATAGCTGTTAGAAGAAAATAAAGTAAATATAACGATGGTGATGATGATAATGAAAGAGAATAAATAATGAATTATGCAATCTGAATGGTGTCCACTAATAAGAGAATTCAAGACACACATCCCTTGGGTTCCTAGTGGAACATAGGGCTTCATTATGTTGGATTGGAATAATCTCGTTGACTTAGAATATCCAGACGATATAGTCCTTCTAGGCGAAGACGCTGACGAAATACAGCGGAGTCTTCTAAACACCTTGAGCCGCAATCTACGATGTTTGGCATGCGATTCGCTCCCGCCAAATGCAAGATGATGTTACAGGACTGGACTACATCGACGCCTAGTTTAAAAATAGGAAGTGAAGTGGTAGAACACATTGACCGCTTCACTTATTTGGGAAGTACCATCAGCCAGTGCCAACGGGTTGATCTCTGACGAAATCTCAGCACGAATACAGGGGCTCGTTTCGCATTTGCCAGTTTACGCCGACTCTGGCGTAGACGAGATGTTCAACTATCGACCAAAGGGCGGGTGTACTGCTCATCAGTCCGCTCCGTCCTCCTTTATGGTAGTGAGAGAGACCTGGCCGCTGAGAGTGGAAGACATGAGAAGACTAGCTGTCTTTGATCATAGGTGCCTGCGCTCTATTTCCCGTGTAAAGTGGCATAATAAGGTGAGCAACATTGAGGTTAGGCGTCGAGTTCTAGGCAAACAGGGGAAATCAATCGACGAGGTTGTGAAGTTACAAAGACTGAGATGGTTAGGACATGTGTTACGTATGCCAAGCCATCGCCTTCCTCGACGAGCAATGTTAGCGGATATAGGGTCAGGCTGGAAAAAAGCTAGCGGCGGTCAAACAAAAACTCGGCACCAGTCAATGAAATCCACAACAGTTAGTCTAAGTCACGTAGGAAGGTGTAAACTTCCAGGCTGGGGTCCTCGGGACGGTAAAAACAAATGGTTGGAAACAATTGGTGACATGGCTTAAAATCCTTCTCAGTGATGGCTAGTGCAGATGCATCCACTTCTTGTGACTTATGATTTCCAATGAAACTATATTGTTCTTCGTTATTACTCCTCCTTTGTCTCACACCTCTGCTTATTGTCTCTATTATGCTTTTCTTATACTTTCTTCTCTTGCTTCCCGTGCTACACGAAGTGTGGCGACTTGAACTTCCGCACGTACGCGAAAAGTTCTATATCGAAAACAGACAGACATAGGGCTTCAACTGCACGTCTACACTTGCCACTTCTGTCTTCCTTCTGCTGTACGTTTCACCTACATCCATGTTAGTCCATACTGCTTCACACGATCTCCTCCATGTCACCCTTGCACTGACGTCCCACTCGCAGCTTCCCTTTCGGGTTCCACTCGAGCAATGGCCTGACGCGCGCGCGATGTCACCCAGCGGCCTCCTCCTCAGCCAGTGTCCAATCCATCTCCACTTTCTCATGCATATTTGTTGGTTGGCGATCGCTTCTTGTTTTGTTTGTTTGTTCCCATGGTTTCTTGTCAATGATTCTTTCCGGCCATCTGATCTTCAGTAAACAGCGAAGACAGCTGTTGATAAAGGTCTGCAGCAGGCTGTTGGAAATATTCTTTGTGACCTGCCCACCAAGTTTCTGATCCGTATAGCAGGACCAACTGACTTGACATTTGTATTGAAAATCTAACTGAATTTTGTTATTTTTTATTTTTTGATTACAGCTTGATTCCACACCGTATTTTTGGTACAAGTATGGAATTTTTAGCATGGATATCGGTAGCCGAAATTTCGCAGGCCGACCATACATATCAGGTGTTCGTCAGCGTGGGCTCGAACCCCAGACCATGTGCATGGTCGGTGAGAGCCCTAACCACTGTGCCACCGACGAAGATTTCCATATGCATTGACCAATACTAACAATTATGTTTGTGAATGCTCATTACTTTTGTTATTACTGTCCTTCATGAAAAAAATGTATATAAATGCGACTGTATAGTTAGAGAAAATGAATTCACCGAAAAGATCCTCTTCGCTGAACTACTTGTATTATCCATCAAAACCACCCCACATCTTTTGACAACCTGTGTCAGCTATTATTTCTTATAGTTTGCAAGCTCACCTACAGATTCGAACCCCGAAAGGTGAATACTGTTAAAGAATCCCAATCATTAGGCAGAAACAATTGTCCAGTCACTTTCTGGTAGTTTTCCAATGATTCTGTGATCGGTTACAGGATTGCACCATGAGCTGACACTGGAAACCCTGGGAGTACTGGACAGCTGTTCCGTCCTGGCTTGAGACTCTCAATCAATACGCATCCACTACAGGAGGTTCGAACCCAGGACCTTCTTGTTACAAGGCCAGCGAGCTCGTAGACCATCAAGCCACTGGGACCCGATTCAATGGCCCATGGATTCTAACTACTGTGATTGATATTAGGTGGTGTTCAAACCTGTAGCCAATCAAATGCCTTCATCAAATCAACACTTGAATATTTTGTGTTCCCCGTTGATTAACTTTTATTGGAGTTGAAATAAAATAACTAGAAAAGTGGTTTAATCATACCCAACCCTTACTCCTACAATCCGTTAACTCCCGTATTCTGCCTATTATTCTCTGTTGTTCCCCCTTAGTTTTTCCTAGGCTACTGAAAAAAGACTATACCTTATTACGCATGATGTTAAAGGTTGTTAGCAGGGCAAGCAACGCGCCACTTAACCAGCTTGTTAATATTCTGGTTGACAGGCACTTGGACTCATGTGAAAAATGGGCAAAATCTATTTTATCTAACTCACACCAATCACACTCTTCATTCACCACAACTCTCCCCTTGTATCTCATCAGGCAGGCAAACCAGAAGCCTATATAGAAAACTATATCCTCACACTAGGAAGTACAAAAACTCATCCATACTCTACCTAGCTCGAGTTCTGTGCGATAAAGAAAGCATTAGGCGTGAAACCTTTAACTTATTAAATAGTCAGTAGAACAACTGGATCTCGTCTTTCCAACTCATATCATTTATAGGTACAACGTTTTATTTCGTTCCTTTCCATTTCTCTCTCTCTTTTTTCTTCTCTGTTATGTGCTGTTTTGTTTCTTTCTTCTGCTTACGCCAGTAAATATGCTACCATCTACTTTTCTAACACCTTCAAACAGTCTCTTTCATTTTGGCCAATATATTGTTGTCAAAACTAACTGAGATTACCGTTAATCTATGTAGAATTTTATTTTATCGTTAATTTACCAACTGGATGCAATACTGCAGTAAAATGCTGAGAATTCCATTCTGTATCACAAGTACTGTTTTGGAATAAAGCAAATTATGATTATTATTAAATTAGTATCCGGTGAACTTGATTTCATCCAATTTTTTTAAACACTTATAAGTTCAACGATTAAATGAAGTGAGAAAAAAATAGGTCATTAGAACTTTTGAATGTAGATAATTTTCTTTGTTCAAAGATTTAAAATAAAAAATCCACAAATTATGAAAGCAAATCACTTATTTTACTTTATGGTGAATTATTATTGTACAATTTGAACATGGAATTGACGCGTAAGTAAGTATGCGCATGAAATTAGTTATCGATTGTTTTGTATTGTATGAAAGAAAGCACATTCAACGAAGAGTTATTCCTCAATTTCAGCGATATCATTTACAAACTTTACAATCGCATGTATATACATCATAAACTCTCTTGTGTGTCGGTGGTATAACGGTTAGGATGCTTGCCGACCATGCACATGGTCCGGAGTTCGATCCCCGGCCACCGACGCACTCCTTTACCTCGCAAACTAGTAATAAAGCTGATAAAGAGAGGAGGTTAGGCATGAGGCTAGCAACCCCATTCTGTAAAAAATAAACACTACTACAGAAACTTCAAGCCACTAGCTTGAAGCCCCGTATGTTCCACTGGGGAACGTGAAGGAAAAAAATTCTCTTAGCAACAAAAAGAATACGTATTGGTTCTGTAGGGATTTGGTTTGGTTTCATGGAGGATTTCATCATGAGCTGACATCAGTTAGAGAACCACTGGAAAACCTGCAGGGAGTACTCGACAGCTGTTCCTGTTGTGCTAGTTTGGGACTCTTCAGCAGTAAGGTGCAGCAGGTTGAAGATGAGGTAGTAACTCAAAGAAGATATTGCGAAATGGTCGAATGATGTCATGAATTGGCGGAAGTCAGAATTCATGCGCTGGCCATTGGATAGGGTCCCAGTGGTTTATTGGTCTACTAGCTCACTGGCCTTGTAACCAGAAGATCCTGAATTTGAACCCCGGTCAGTGGGTGCGTACTGCTGGAGTCCCAAACTGGAACAACGGAAACAGCTATCCAGTACTCCCTGTAGGTTTTCTAATAGTTCTCCACGTGATGTCAGCTCATGGTGAAATCCTCTATCAACTCAAAAAGAATATTTACAAAGATGTGTGTCATTAGAATTGTAAATTGTTTTTAGATAACAAATTACGTAACATAAAAAATGTTAATCGGGTAGAAACTAAAAGAAAATTGAATAAGTAAATAGAGTGACGTAGTATAATTGACGGGAGTGAGTACAATTCAGCTAAGATTCGAACAAGAGTTAAAGAGTCAAGTTAACAACAATACTAGTGAAAGGTAGAAATTTAATACGGAGTTGAAGGAAGAAGATAATACTGTGGTGAGAGGTGGCAACTAACCAAAATTGGTAGACAGTAATTGACGTCAATGTTTACATCCCCAATATTGGTTGTGAGAAAAATAAGAACAAAGACTGATTCAACAACCAATCACAATAGACTTTGCGTAGGCGGATACAATTAGTAGATAGATAATCTGAATTTCAAGAAACGGTCATAAAGAGATGAAAGATTAACTTTCAGTGAGAAAGCGACCAATCAGAAGACTGTGTTTTTCTGCTAATAATAATCTATAATAATGTACATGAAAATCTATTAATATGTGTTGATTTCCTAAATAAACGATCTGTTGCCTGGCCCTTGTCTTCTGTTATTACAATACAATTAAGAAATAAAAA